CCCGCCTATCCAGATCCTCCTGCAGAGCCTTCCTACCCTCGAGCAGATCAACACGTGCACCTAACTTGGTGTCATCTGCAATCTTACTCATTGATAAGATCGATGAGATCATCGATAAAGATATTAAAATGAACCAGCCCCAGGACTCCACTAGTGACCGGCCTCCAACTGGATTTGACTCCATATGTTGGGTCTGTCTGGGCTGGAGTCACCTTTCCCTGCAGCAGCCCACACAGTGCTGTGCTCTGCACTTGTAGCTGGAACAGCACTGATATCACTCCAGTGTTGTGTCTATTGCTGCGTAGTGCTGGCACAGCATCAGGACTCCTTCCAAGCCCCCAGGAGCCAGCAGGCTGGGGGTGGGCAAGTGATGGGGAGATGGGGAGAGGACATTGCCAGGGCAGCTGACCTAAACCAACCAAAGGGATATTCCATAACACCTGATGTCACACTCAGCAATAAAAAGGGGGGCTCTCGTGGGGGAGGGGGCTGTTCCTCCTGAACAACCACTATGCGTTTTGAGGCCCTGCTTCCCAGGACGTGTCCAAACATCGCTCACTGATGGGAAGTAGAGAATATATATTTTTTCCCTTATCTCTGTGCTTCCGCACAGACTTCTTGTTTCTTTTGTTTCTTTTTCTCCCCATTCCCTTTCCCTTTAATTAAACCTTTCTCATCTCAAACCTCGAGTTCTCTGTGTTGTATTTTCTCCCCCTTCCTCTTTGAGGAGAGGGGGAGTGAGAGAGTGGTTGTGGTGGAGCTCGGCTGCCCATCTGAGTAAAACCACCATACTCCGTTCACCACGACTATTTGAGCCCGGCCATCCAGCCAGTTTTTAACCCAATGAAGCGTACACCAGTCCAAGCCATGAGCAGCCAGTTTCCTGAGGAGAATGTTGTGGGAAACGGTGTCAGAAGCCTTGCTGAAATCAAGGTAGACCACATCCACAGCCTTTCCCTCATCCACTAAGCGCGTCACTTTGTCATAGAAGGAGATCAGGTTCGTCAAGCAGGACCTGCCTTTCCTAAAGCCATGCTGACTGGGCCCAAATGCCTGGTTGCCCTGCAAGTGCCGCGTGATGACATTCAAGATAATCTGCTCCATGAGCTTCCCTGGCACTGAGGTCAAACTAACAGGCCTATAGTTTCCCAGGTCTACGTTCTGACCCCTCTTGTAGATGGGCGTCATGTTTGCCAGCTGTCAGTTGACAGGGACCTCCCCTGACAGCCAGGACTGCTGATAAATGATAGTAAGCGGCTTGGCCAGTTCTCTCAGTACCCTCGGGTGGATCCCATCTGGTCCCATCGACTTGCATACATCCAAGTGCTGTAGCAGGTTGTCAATCTGTTCCTCGTGGATTATGAAGGCCACATTTCGCTCCCCATCCCCTTCCACCAGCTCAGGGTATCTAGAGAACAACTGGTCTTGCCACTAAAGACTGAGGCAAAGAAGGCATTAAGCACCTCCGCCTTTTCCTCATCTCTTGTCACTAAGTTTCACTAAGTTTCCCCCTTCATCCAGTAAAGGATGGAGATTCTCCTTAGTCCTCCTTTTCGTGTTAATGTATTTATAAAAAACGTTTTCTGTTATCTTTAGCAGCAGTAGCCAGATTGAGCTCCAGATGAGCTTTGGCCTTTCTAATTTTGCCACTGCACAGCGTCGCAACATCCTTATGGTCCTCCTGAGTGGCCTGCCCTCTTTTCCAAAGATTATAAACCCTCTTTTTTTTCCAAAGCTCTAGCCACAGTTCTCTGTTCAGCCAGGCCGGTCTTCTTCTGCACCGGCTTGTCTTTGGGCACATGGGAACAGACCGTTCCTGAGCCATTAAGAGTGCCCAGCCTTCCTGGACTCCTCTGCCCTTCAGAACCACCTCCCAAGGGACTCTGCCAACCAGTGTCCTGAACTGTTCAAAGTCAGCCCACTGGAAGTCCAATACAGCGGTTTTACTGGTCCCCTTCCTGACTTCGTCAAGAATAGAGAACTCTACCATTTTGTGGTCACTCTGCCCAAGACAGCTCCTGACCACCACATCTCCCACCAGTCCTTCTCTGTTTGTGAACATAGGATCACTAACCAGCTGCGTCAGGAAGCTATCTTTCACACTCTCCAGAAACCTCCTAGACTGCTTTCTCTGAGCTGTATTGTATTTCCAGGATATGTCTGGGAAGTTGAAACTTGCCACGAGAACACGTGCTGGCGATTTCGCAACTTCTGCCAGCTGCCTGTAGAACTCCTCATCCATCTGCTCATCCTGCTTTGGTGGTCTATAACAGACCCCCACCAGGAAGCTTGCCTTGTTGGCCTTCCCGCTGATCCTAACCCATAGGGACTTAACCTTGTCATTCCCAGCCTCGAGTTCCACAGCATCAAAACACTCTCTAATACAGAGAGCCACACTACCACCCCTTCTGTGCTGCCTGTCCCTTCTGAAGAGCCTATAGCCAGACATTGCAGCACTCTAGTCATGGGAGTGGTCCCACCACGTTTCAGTGATGGCAACCTGTGGTGGTTTTACTCAGGTGGACAGCCAAGCTCCACCACAACTGCTCTCTCACTCCCCCTCTTCTCAAAAGGAAGGGGGAGAAAATACAACACAGAGAACTGGAGGTTTGAGATGAGAAAGGTTTAATTAAAGGGAAAGGGAATGGGAAGGAAAAACAGATACAAAAGAAACAATCAGTCCGCGTGGAAGCACAGAGAGAGAAAAAATTATTCTCTACTTCCCATCAGTGAGCGGTGTTCGGCCACGTCCTGGGAAGCAGGGCCTCAAACGCGTAGTGGTTGTTCAGGAGGAACAGCCCCCTTCCCCACGAGAGCCCCCCCTTTTTATTGCTGAGTGTGACATCAGGTGTTATGGAATATCCCTTTGGTTGGTTTAGGTCAGCTGCCCCGGCAATGTCCCCTCCCCATCACTTGCCCACCCCCAGCCTGCTGGCTCCTGGGGGCTTGGAAGGAGTCCTGATGCTGTGCCAGCACTACGCAGCAATAGACACAACACTGGAGTGATATCAGTGCTGTTCCAGCTACAAATGCAGAGCACAGCACTGTGCGGGCTGCTGCAGGGAAAAGGTGACTCCAGCTCAGACAGACCCAACACACAACCAAGTCATAGCTCGCCTGCTGCACAATGGCTTCCTGCTCTTCCTGTTTGTTACCCATGCTGCATGCATTAGTGTAGATGCACTTCAGCTGGGCCATTGCCTTCTCCCCTGGCCCTGACATTGTTCCCTCTGGCACACCTCTAATGAGACTTATTTCATCCCCATCCCCTTCTTACTTAGTTTAAAGCCCTCTCAATGAGGCCTGCCAGCTCCTGGACTAGGATCCATTTCCCCTTTGAGGCAGGTGGGACCTGTCTGCAGCCATCAGGCCAGGTGCCGAGTAAAGAGCCCCATGGTCAAAAAAAAAAAAAATTTCTGTGTTGGCACCAGCCTCTGAGCCACCTGTTTATCAGGTGGGCTTTCCGTGTCCTCTCTGTACCCCTCCCTGCCACCGTAGGGATGGACGAAAGCACCACCTGTACTCCCGCTCCATCTACTACCCATCCCAGTCCCCTAAAGTCCCATTTGATAGCCTTAAGGCTTCTCTAAGCAATATCATCACCACCAGCCTGCACTATCAATAAAGGATAGTAATCAGTGGGGCAAACCAGGTTAGGAAGGTTTCTGGCAATGTCCCTGACCCAGGCCCTAGGGAGGCAGCAGACTTCTGTACGGGTAGGGTCAGGCCAGCAAATAGGGCCCTCTGTTCCCCTGAGAAGGGAGTTTCCTATAACAATTACCCTTCTTTCTTTCTTAGTGGAGGCAGTCTTGAGGTGTGGAGTCAACTTCCTCACCCTAGGCAGCCTCCTGGGTGGACTGTTCACCTCATCCTCACCCAACAGTCTCTCAAGCTCCAAGACCATGAACCTTTTGTGTAAGGAAACCTGAGAAGGCCAGTAGGGAAGGGGGTTGCCTGCAACGTTGAACAGGGATCTGCTTCCATTCCTCTTCATCTCCTAGGTCCCCTCCCTCTGTTCAACAGCAATGGGGCAGTGGGTCTACCACAGTTTGGGGTGTCTCCCCCTGGTGCCTTTCCTTCAGGCCTTGCAGGGAGTTGCTTCACCAGTCTATCTCCTGCTCACACTTCCTGATAGCCCTTAACCTCTCCACCTCCTCCTTGAGCTCTGCCACCAGGCTGACCAGGTCATCCACCTGCTCACACCTCACACACACAGTGTCTCTGCCACCCTCAGATGTCAGCAATAGGCTCAGGTGCTCCCTGCAAATGAATTACACTAGAAAAAATTATGTGCCAAAAGAAGTGATAGAGCTGTGCTGTAACACTGCTCTCAGCAGTCAATTTAGTGAGCAGCAAAATGGGTGGTAGGGAAAGCACATGTAGACTAAACTAGAGGATTGGGACAATGTATATCATTTTTTCTGATGAAACAGATTCAGGTAATCCATTTGGTGAAGATGAGTTTTAGTGTGATTGTGGCTCTTTCAAATTTGATTTGAACTCAGCTTGACAGAGAGGTATAGGTGTCAAATAAGATTGCCACAAGTCTTATAAATACGGTGTTTTAATGAGAGGAAGGAATATAGACCCTGCACTGAGACTCACGGGAATGTACAAAGATGCACATTAGCACAAAAGGCTTCATGCTGAACTTTGAGTAAACCCCAGAAAGTGATGCAGAGAAAACTGGACTTTTTTAGTTCTTTTGTTCACAGAGCAACTGTTTTCTTTCTTTCTTTTTTTTTTTTTTTTTTTTAAAAAAAGTACATTGTGAAACATTACTCTAAAGTAAATATTATGCAGTCTTGATATTTTTTTTAAGAAGGTTGAAATTGGGATATGCTAATTTAGCAAAGCGAGCTTTCAAAAACCTTCTGTCCTGGAAACTGTCAAGATCCTAGAAATAAACATAAGATAATATAGGAGCAGGAAAAAAAAATCTTACACCAGCAGTTATTGTTGTTATTAATTCTGTTGTTATTTATTATTTTTTTTTACAGTGTATCCTTTTCAGTGCATGTCTCTGAAGACTACCCAGGTACAGTGCAACATTCTTGTCCATGACACATATATGTGTGTTACAGTAATTTACAATATTCAGATGAGAATATTTGAAAGAGTATTAATGTGTTTCAGGTGTATCCTTGTGCTAATCATTTTCAATTTGTTAGGTAATTTTCACAGTCATTTCTCCTTTTCAGGCATCATTTATCAACTGGGTCAGGGTGAGAAAATCTGGTTCACAAGTTTACTGAGACCAGAGCTTGTGATACTTTCTGAGTTTAGAAAGCACCCAACTCCTCTTTGGCATGGTAGATAAAGCTCAGTCTTTCAAGAGGCTGAACAGTCTAGCACGGGGCCTACAAAGCACTTCAGTGTGTTAAACCTTAATGAGACTATTCACATTCTTGAAGTTAAACCTGTGGCTTGTGCATTGATGCTTCTCAGGATCTGCTGGAGCCAGAGTTTGTGTATGTGTATGTCTTTGGTAATGTAAGCTTGCAAAGCTGTTCCCAGCTGCTCAGTCCTGTGCACCTGCTGTACCCTAAGCTGGGCTGGCAAAACCATTTGTATAACCATGAGGCCAACCTATACAAGGTGAATTATCCATTTGGAAGACAACCAGCCAAGAGCAAAAGCTAATTTTCAGCTAGCTTGTTTCCCTGACTTCCTTCAGAAAGAGCCTGCACAGATACTTCTGGTGGCACAGAAATTAGCAGAAACAAGCAAGGGAAGTGGGAGTGAAGGCAGACAGGCACTTTGCAAGTTAGAGGTGAATGGTAGTACTGTTGGATTGCACCACATTGTGTATTTTGCACCTGGGAGTATTTAATAATGCAAATACTATGAATGATGTGGTGGTTTCACCCTGATGAGCAGCTAAACTCCAACACACCACTCTCTCACTCCCCCTCCTCAAAGGAACAGGGGGAAAATACAATGAAAAAGGGCTCAAGGGCTGAGATAAGGACAGGGAGATCACTCACCAGCTGCACACAGTCATGGGCAAAACAGACTCAGTATAGGGAAATTCATATAACTTATTGCCTATTGCTAACAGACTAGAGCAATGAGAAACTAAAAGCAAACTAAAAACACCTTCCCCCATCCATCCTCTTCTACCTCCTTCCCCTGAGCAGTGCAGGGGAAAGGGGAATGGGGGTTGTAGTCAATCTGTAACACTTCATCATCTGCTGCTCCTTCATCTTCACTCTCTTCCCCTGCTCTAACATGGGGTCCCTCTCATGGGATGCAGTCCTTCCCAAACTGATCCTGCATGAACTTCCCACAGGCAGCAGCTCTTCAAGAATTGCTCCCATATGGATCCATACAACAAAGTCTATCCTTCAAGAGTGGACTGCTCCAGCATGGGTCCCCCATGGGCAGTAGCTCCTGCCAGGTCACCTGCTCCTGTGTGGTCTCCTCTCCATGGGCTGCAAGTCTGTCCTGGAGTCTGCTTCTGCGAGCACTCTCCGTGGGCTGCAGACTCCTTCAGGGCAGATTCACCTGCTCCACCATGGGCTCCTCCATGGACTGCAACGTGGAGATCTGCTCCACTGTGGTACACCATGGGCTGTGGGGGGACAGCCTGCTCCACCATGGTCTTCTCCACAGGCCACGGGGGAATTTCTGCTCCCGTGCCTGGAGCACATCCTCCCCCTCTTTCTTCAGTGACCTTGGTGTCTGCAGAATTGTTTCTCTCTACATTTCCTCACTCTTCTCTCCCAGCTACTGTTGTGCAACAGTTTTTTCCCTTTATTAAATGTGCTCTCACAGAGGTGCAACCAGCATCACTCATTAGCTCAGCTATGGTCAGCAGCAGGTCCCTTTTGGGTCTGGCTGAACATATCCTTATCTAACATGGGGCAGCTTATGGACTCTTCTCACGGAGGCCACACCCCTGGAGCCCCCCTGCTACCAAAACCTTGCAATGTAAACCCAATAAAGACATGAAAGCCTCTAGCCTTTTTTCACCATTATCCATACCTGTATAATACTTCTGAAAGAAATATTTATTGTTTCTTTTAGAATCTCTGAAGAAGTGAGGCTTTTTGAGTTCTCCATTCTTGGAGAAGCCAGGAAGGGGACCAGTAAAACCGCTGTATTGGACTTCCAGTGGGCTGACTGTGAACAGTTCAGGACACTGGTTGGCAGAGTCCCTTGGGAGGCAGTTCTGAAGGGCAGAGGAGTCCAGGAAGGCTGGGCACTCTTCAAGAATGAAATCTTAATGGCACAGGAGCGGTCTGTCCCCATGTGTCCAATGACGAGCCGGAGTGGAAGAAGACTGGCCTGACTGATCTGGATGAGGGCATCGAGTGCACCCTCAGTAAGTTCACAGGTGACACCAAGTTAGGTGCGTGTATCGATCTGCTCGAGGGTGGGAAGGCTCTGCAGGAGGATCTGGATAGGCTGGACCAATGGGTTGAGGTCAACTGTATGAAGTTCAACAAGGCCAAGTGCCAGGTCCTGCACCTGGGGCGCAAGAACCCCAAGCAGAGCTACAGGCTGGGAGAGGAGTGGTTGGAGAGCTGCCTGGCAGAGAAGGACCTGGGAGTATTGGTTGCTAGTCGGCTTAATATGAGCCAGCAGTGTGCTCAGGTGGCCAAGAAGGCCAACAGCATCCTGGCTTGTATAAGAAGCAGTGAGGCCAGCAGGGCTAGAGAAGTGATTGTACCCCTGTACTCGGCTCTGGTGAGGCTGCACCTCGAGTACTGTGTTCAGTTTTGGGCCCCTTGCTACAAGAAGGACATTGAGGTGCTTGAGCGAGTCCAGAGAAGGGCGACAAACCTGGTAAGGGGTCTGGAGAACAAGTCTTACGGGAACCGGCTGAGGGAGCTAGGCTTGTTCAGCCTGGAGAAGAGGAGGCTCAGGGGCGACCTTATCGGTCTCTATAAGTACCTTAAAGGAGGCTGTAGTGAGGTGGGGGTTGGTCTATTCTCCCATGTGCCTGGTGACAGGACAAGGGGGAACAGGCTAAAGTTGAGCCAGGGGTGTTTTAGGTTGGATATTAGGAAGAACTTCTTTACTGAGAGGGTTGTTAAACATTGGAATGGGCTGCCCAGGGAAGTGGTTGAGTCACCATCCCTGGAGGTCTTTAAAAGATGTTTAGATGTTGAACTTAGCAATATAGTTTAGTGGAGGACTTGTTAGTGTTAGGTCAGAGGTTGGACTCAGTGATCTCGAGGTCTTTTCCAACCTAGACAATTCTGTGATTCTGTGATTCTTCGATCTTCTTCACTGATAAGCAAGAGTAGACTATGTCTGTACAAAACTCCAGAGTGTTTGAAGCTGATGAAGAGAGAAATCAGCATCAGTAGTGATGCTAAATACAATGTATTCTGTGAAAGAATGTTTACAACCTTTATGAGAGAGATTTTTTTCACTAGCAAAAACTGGAAAAAAAAATGCTTCTAATAATCTGTTCAACAAGTTGTACGTGTAGAAAATTATATTCATAAAATACACCATCATACCCTTTCATAAATTGACTGGTTACTTGATTGGCATGGCAATGAAAAGAGGGAGAAATAGTTGAAAAAATGTTAATGTTTGTTTTATTAAATGTCAGTAATGGATTTATATTTTTTTTCAGTGATTAAGCTGTTATGAGGGCACGGAAGTCAATCTCTGGGAACCCCTGAACTAAATGGCAATCTAGATCACTGAATCAGCAGTTACTCCCAACAGTAACTCATCTCCTGACAATCTCTTCTCTCTGACAGACCTTAAACCTCCCTTACAGATGCTATTTACAGCATGCCCTGGTGGTCTACAAGCCTGAATGACTTTGGTGGCCTTGAATCCCAATAAATATTTTCCACCATCACCCCCTATATTTTAAAGCCAGATAGAATTTGATTGGTTTACACTATAGGTAACTTGGTTGTGTGTGTGTCTGTGTGTGTGTGTGGGGGGGTTAAACCAGTTGCTCATGTTTATTGATTGAAATCTAATGCTTTAAGCCTTTGGAAGAGCTGTTTTCATTCATATCTCAAGCTTTTGCAAAATGTATTTTTGCTTTGTGATATGTTACGAATTATAATGACTTTTTGCCATTTTACAGCTTTGATCCTAAAAATACTCATTGTGATTTGATGAGACAGATTCTTTACACTAAATCTTTAGATTAACATTACTGCTGACTGTGGCTCTCTCTTCTCTGGCATGTATTTTAAGGGATGTCTCAGGGACACATCAGGGCATGATGGTGTCAAGCCTGAAGAGCTCTCTGCTAGTATCCTCCTCAACCATAACTATATGGATGTTGTGGTTTGACCCAGCCAGCAGCTAAGCACCACACAGATGTTCCCTCACCCTTCCCCCCTCCCTCTCTGGGATGGGGGAGAGAATCAGGAAAATGAAGCCTGAGGGTTGAGATAAAGGCAATTTATTAGGACAGAAAAGAAAGGAAAATAATAATAGTACTACTACTACTACTGATGTGTACAAACAAGTGATGCACAATACAATTGCTCACCACCCACTGACTGATGCCCAGTCTATCCCCTGCAGGAACCGCTGATGTCCCTGGGAGAAAAGGAATGTGTTGTGGTTTAACCCGGCCAGCAGCTAAACACCACACAGCCGTTTGCTCACCCTCCCCCCTCCCTCTCTGGGATGGGGGAGAGAAACGGAAAAGTGAAGCCTGTGAGTTGAGATAAAGACAGTTTATTAAGACAGGAAAATAATAATAACAATAATAATGATAATAGTACTACTACTACTACTACTACTACTAATGTGTACAAAACAAGTGATGCACAATGCAATTGCTCACCACCCGCTGACCGATTCACAGTCTATCCCCGAGCAGACAATCCCTCCACCCTGGCTAGCCCCACATATTAATTGTTTAGCATGATGTCAGATGGTATGGAAAACCCCTTTGGCCACTTTGGGTCAGCTGTCCTGGGTCTGTCCCCTCCCAGCTCCTGCTGCACCCCTAGCCTGCCCATTGGCAGGACAGAGCGAGAAGCTGAAAGGTCCTTGGCTTGGTGTAAGCACTGCTCTGCAACAATTAAAACATCAGCATGTTAT